ATGACTCAGAATCCAGACACGTCAGTGCAGCACTGGATGAAGGATGCAAGGGTCTGTCAGGAGGCCAGAAACTCATTGGCCTTTTATACACACACAGTGATTACATGCAAACAGATTACAGGTGAGGATGGTTCCCTTTAATAGCCATTCACACCCCTTTGTGTCATCCTGTGTGCATGTTATCAGGCCACAATCACCAGGGTATGTAAACTTTTGATCAGTGTCATTTGGGTAGTTTCTGTTGTCATTATGATTGGAAAAGAGTAAACACAGTTGATTAATAATAAATGGCTTCAGCCAAACACTACCCATGAGTGACAGAAAGGTTATAGTGTTATCATTCATATTCTCTGAAAAATGGCCAGGAAATCATAAATTCTGCCAGGGTATGTAAACTTATGAGCACAACTGTATATATATCTATATATATATATAGATATATATATACACACACACACACACACACATATATATATATATATATATATACACACATTCACAGGTAGCCCTCAATTTACTCTTGGGTTAGGTTCCTGAGGGAATGGTTGTAGATAGAAAATCGGTGTAAATTGAGACCCGGTATATAATGTAAGTCAAGAGAGGGAGTTATGTTCCATATAAATAATTATCTTGCTGCCCTCTTACCGGATTCAGTTGGTAACCTGTAAAACAGTAAAAAGAAAAGCTAGTCAGAAAGAAAAGCTTAAGTCAGCTATACACACGGCAAATTTCGGCCACTGCATGGGTGCTGCCGTTGTGACCTTTGCGCCGGCATCCCCTGATCAGCTGATCGAACAATAGGTCAGAAAAATATCAGCCAAACAGAGCCAGGAGCTAAATCAGCTGCTAGCTCCGTTCAGGTAGTCTGAATACAATAGAAACAGCAGGGATTCCTCGATCAATGTTTGTAAGCGTTGGAGGAATCGGTTCTTTTTTCATTTAACGACAACAAATAGAACTCTGTATACCCAGCTATAGCAAAGAGCAAAACAGATCTGCCAATTCCGTAGGTAGGAAGCCCGAGTCCGGGTCCTTGTGAACTCCCCGTAACCCACTAGCTGGTGAAAAGGAAGCAGCTTCTGCAAACATCACTGGAGGGATGCTGCTGTACAGGTTGTACCAAGGTAAAAGCCTGCTTTTGGATAGGCCAATTAGTCTAGGGTCATCCTTTGGACTGGTAGTCTAGAGCAGGCCTCAAAATTTCCACTCGCCCCCTCGCAATTGGCGAGTGAAAATTGCGGGGGGCGAGTGGAATCTCATCGAGGAGCGCCGCCGGCGAGACCAGAGATTGGACGCTACCGCGGCAATTGCTCGCTTCTGTTCTCTCTTCTCATCGAACGCTGTAGCTACAGAGCGGCCGATGAGAAGAGAGACACAAGGGAACGATCGCCGTTGTGGTAGTGTCCCATCTCTGGTCCCGCCGGCGGCGCTCCACGATGACATCCGCTGTCTTCTGCAGCTTCCTCCGCCCAGCTCAGCTGCCAGGCTGGGAGGAAGACTGCAGAGACGGTGAGACCGGGCCATCCAGAAAGTTAGCAGGGAAAAGAAGGTACATGGAGGATCTCTGCA